GGTGGAGGGAGAGAGAGAAGAGACAATGCAAATCCTTTCTGTGAGTAATACCACAAGAACAGCTGAAGACCCAAAGATTATACTCAATTTGTTACAGTAGCCAGGTCTCCACAAGGAAAAAGGGTTGACTGAACAATAATGTTTATAAAAGATAAGCCTTTTTACACAAAAGCTAGGGTGTGGGACAGGCAGCAGGTAACACAAGAGAAGAAAGAACCAAAGAGGAAAACACAGTAAGGAATATGCAGGAGAGCAACAAACACCAGGGAGCAGAAAGAGTGTGCAAAAGCCATGTGCAGCTCTTTGAGCCTGAAGTGTGTCACCTGCAGCTGGGCCAGCCACCAGTCCATCATGGAGGTGCGCTTACTGGCTGCAGCAGAGTGATAATAACAGATAACGCTGTAGCAGATACAATAATTTATACCCACTTGAACAAGCCCCCTTCTCAAAAAAAAAATCAGCCTAGGATATGTAAAGAGCAGACGTGTTAAAACAACAACAAAACAATGGTAGTTTTTTTAAAAAATAAATATGAAATGTTAGTATGGGGCTTGAAGGGGGAAAGCACAAGGAAAAGGACAGCCTAAATGAAAGCCCTAGGCCACACTCTTCACAGTGGATCCAGAAGAAGAGATCAGAGAGAATGCCTGTCGTGGGGGAAAATTTTTTTAGAAGCTAAAATTGGCTCATACCAGAACATCTTCCCTAAAACCTAATTCAAAGACCCATATAGGGGCAGTGACCACTTTTCTCTGCTGTATCACACATACTTCTGCATTTGCATCTACATTTTCAGTACCTCCAAATAACTGATATTTGTAATGATACACGCACATATGTCATCAAGATACAGGATACAGTGTAGTAAAATAATCAGGGAAATTATATGTAAAATTTCAACAAAAAAGATCTTCCACCACCTGAAGTGCTAATTTTCAGCTAAGTAGAAAACTTGTCGACCAGAACAGCTTATTCCACGCCTGATGGATTCATATCACCCAAGCACCACTGTACACAGTGCAACAACTAAAACTAAGAGCTTGGCTGCTAACCAAAACGGTGGTGGTTCAAACCCACCAAGCAGCTCCGAGGGAGAAAGACGTGGCTATCTGCTTCTGTAGAAATTACAGCAAAAAAAAAACCCTATAGGGCAGTTCTACTCAGTCATATAAGGTTGCTGTAAGTAGAGTCAACTAGACCGCACCCAACAGCACACAACAACAACACATGTAACTACCTATGTTGCTATTTTATTGAATAAGTTACAGTGTCACGCTATCCATGCAGATGACATTATTTTAACCATTTCATTAAGTATGCTCACTGGCATATCAAATCGATAGAAATAAAATTTTCACCAGTTTTCATTTCTCTGCATATAGTTTCTGGTAAGAGGCCTATAATCCTTTCCCTTTATTAAAATTTTAACAGTGAAATCTAAAATATTAAGATATAATTTTTATTATAGGTTTAAAATATATCAAATAATACTTAATCATATGATGGATCTCTCTTTCTCCACCCCTCAAACACATTTAAAAAAAAAAACTGCTTCTCTTTCTTCATGTTGGAATCCAACAACTTCAAACAGTACCTATAGGCCAAGAGGTTTCTCTGAGTTCAGTATCTGAAATACACTGAGTTTTCCTTTGTGAAATTACGATTCCATCCTTCATGGTAATGGGGATTTGCTATTCTCTAATGATAAATTTCTCAATTGTTAAGTTCTTTAAAAAATAACCTAATCTGCTGATTACTAGTTCTACAGAGGCAATGTATTTTTTTTAAAACATACTCAATGATCAGTTTTAATTCACCAATTTTCTCCATGGAAATAGGAAATTATAGACTTGGGGGATCATGTGCAGCAAAATGAAGGGACTATTAGATATTCAGTCATAAAAAAAAATAACTAGAAGTAAAACCATTTCCTTCACCCTCATTCCATCACACACACTGCACTTTTTCCCTTTTGAAAGACAGTCATTTCCATCCCAGGCCTTCATGTCTCCAGTCAAACAATGCCAAGAATTTTTACACCATCTGCCTAATCTCTATCTCAGATCCTAACCTCAAGGTTTTTTGTTTTCCTTTTCCTGTAAATTCTAAATCAAAAGTGACATTCAGTTCCGCAAGACTGTATGGTGCAAGATGCAGGGATACAAACACAAACAGAACCCAGTTCCTACCCTCTCAGATGGGCTCTGGCTGTTAGACATGCTAAGAGGCAATTTCTATATATACATATTTGTATAACTTGTCTAATTCTTGAAAAAGATTGGTATTACTACTCTTGTTCAAAATGTAACTTCCTGTTTTTTTCCCCTCCCATACCCTTCTCTTCAGCTGACATTCTGTTTTCATTACTTAAACTCCTTGCCTATAACATTGTTTGCTTTTAAAGGTACATTTATCACTTCCTGTTATTGTGTATTTATCCCCGTAAAACCTAACCAATACTAGAGCAAAGATGTATGTAGCAGTTACTAAAGATTTTCTGTTTCACAGTAATGGCTCTGACTGTGGTCAGACCTTACAGTGAATACAATACTCCAAGGAATACAAATGGTCACTCAGATAAGAGAAATTAATTATTATAGGATGTGCAGGAAGAGATCAATAACTCTTATCATTTACTCCCCCAGAAGGTCAGGTCAAAGTTATATTAATATAATTTCATGTTCAGAGGTTCTTTCAGTCAAGAAGCTCAAAACCATCTTATAAGCCTTATTAATCTTCACAAATAATATGTGCGAATATTATGCATTACCACTTATAGATAAACTGCTTAAGGGCTAAGCTGCTGCAGTGGTCAAGAAAGCAAGGACACGACAATGCACCACTAAGAGTGCCTGGGATGCTGCTTTAATTCAGATACTCTTCTCTGGCATGTTTCCATCTGTGATGATTAAGGCTGTGTGTCAACTTGGCTGGGCCATGATTCTAAGTGGTTTGGCAGTTATATAATAATGTAATTTGGCAGTAATGTAATGATATAGTTATCCTCCATTTTGTGATATGATATAATCACCTCCATGATGTGATCTGATGTGATCAGACAATCAGTTATTAGGGGAGTTTTGGGGAGAGGGGCCCTGCATCCAATACATATGGATGTTCTGGTAAAGCCTGCTGGCTGGCTTTTGCTCGCTCTGTATCCTGCATCTGGCTCCTCATCATATGACCTCCACATCTTGGGTCTTGAGCCAGTAGCCTGCCATACTGTCTGCCGATTTTGGGATTCGTCAGCCTCTATGGCCCATGAGCCAGCAGCCTGCTGCCTGACCTGCTGATCTTGGGTTCGTCAGGCCTTGCAGCTATGCGAGTCAGGAGAAGGCTCGAGCCTAAGGTCTAACCCACAGACTTGGGACTTGCCAGCTTGTACAACCGTGTGAGCCTTTTCCTTGAGATAAATCTTCACAGGTTTTGCTTCTCTAGAGAACCATCTATATGTGGATTTCTTCCATAAAGTAGAACTATCAACTCATAGATCTCAGATTTCAGAGGGAGGCGATGACCTATATGGGATTGCTACACTCTGCAGAGGAAGAAACGGGGGCCCTGAGAAGTAGTGACCTGCCCACGTCATGTGGCTGAGCTGAGAGCGAGGTCACTAGGCTTGGAGGTGATGCTCACTTCCTGCATCCTCTTCTTCATCCCCTGCCCCTCCTAAGCATGGCACAGCCCCAGAATACTAAGCTGAGCCACATGTTCAGTGATATTCTTCCACAGCAGCTCGCTCTCAATCATGCTGCCCATTTCCTATTTCAAATCAATAACAAGTATTACAGGGTACATATGGAACACCTGTGTAAACTTTTTACACTAGGATCTCTGGTGTTAAAAATTCAAACCTTTTTTTTTCATTATGGGGGAGGCTATGCTAAGCTAATGGTGATTCCAGAAATCATATTCTTCTTAAAGTAAGTGGATGGGGTGGATATATGTAGTTACAATGCTGATTTACCCTGTTTCTGAAGTCTGATTTGCTCATTTTCTGCCCATTTTGCTTTATTCTCTTTGGATTTACTTCTTTCTTTACAAATAAATCTTTCTTTACACTAAATTTAAGTTCTATTATAAGCAAATACTTTCTTTGAAAATGTTCAACATGAAAGAATTTTAGGCTATTCTTAATTATTCATTTCTCAAAGACCTTTATCTTTCTATCTCCTTTGTATCCTCAAAAGTCTCTATGTTTAACAGTTTTCTGAAAGAATGTTTTTACATTAGTGATTTTTCATCTTTGATTTCTTGTTCTCATTTATAGTATAATATGTCTTGCAAGCACCCAAATCAAGTGTATTCAAATAACATTTAAGAAGCTCTCAACCTCAACTATCTAAAAATGATTTGAAATCCCTAATTATCATGCAATCATTTGTGTATTTACTGCATTTTGCCTTTTATTTTTTTTAATGAAAGGAAAATATAGAAAAACAGAAGTGGTAGTACTAATGATATGTTAAAAAGAAATAAATTATCTCTGACTCAATACAGTTGAGACAAAGATGGAAATCATTCATTGCCAAAATAGGTGAATATTTGTTTAGTTTCAACTGGAGGTTCACTGGACATAAGCTGGTCCTCCATGTATTCCATTGTGAAGGTGACCAAAAAAAAAAAAATTTAAAGCCATGTAAGAAACGCTGAAGTCCACAAATGCTACACAAACAAGGAGTGCTGTACAGACCACACTGCAAATACTGAGCTAGCAGGCTGCACCGCCACACCACAGCTCAAAACGCACGTCAAAGTCTGAATTCATTGTACAAAGAAAGGCATTCTGTGGAAGTCAAGTATTCTCTAAGAAAGTGTGGGCTGTATCAGCCCGTGCCAATACTTTGTTTTTAAAAAGGAAAAAAAGTATTAAGCTTAGCTCAAAAAAAAAAAAAAAAAACAAGAAAAAACAAAACACAACTCTGCTTGCTAGGATTTATAGCATAGAGGAAATACACGGTAGAGGAACTAGTCTGGAGACAGAGGATAAAATGAGTCCAGCCACTACATCTTCTTGTTCCCTTCAGATTCCATTTTTCAGACCCAGGGTTTTGAGATTTCCTTGGGTTGGCCTAAGACAAGCAGCTTAGTGCTACAGATCTAGTCAGGAAAAATAAGGAGTTACCACATAAAGCTACAAGAAGCCGGGACTGAATTAGTGTTCTAAGCTCAGACAGAGTGTAGCATTAGATGCTCTGGGTATGGGTTAACAGGGGGATGACCTTCAGAGGTGTGGGTTAACAGGGGGATGACCAAATTGAGGCTCAGCAGAGAGCTGCTGCCACTGCTATTCTGCAAACTCTCCAAACTTTTGGCTGGACACCAAGTCCAGGTTTGAGCACTACAAAACAGTCACACTAAAATACCAACCCTGAGGATTTACAAAAGCATGCTAAACAGATGGACTTACTTATAGCTTCGAAAGTGAATCTTCCCATTCAGTGCAGTGAAGTGCAGAACATACTCTAAACCAGCCAGGCGGATATTTGATACTGTAGGGCCTCTGAAGAAATCTAAAAGCACATATTTTGTTAAAGGAAAAAGACCAAAACACTTTTAAAATTCAGTTATAAAGTGCTACATCTAATGCTGCTTTATTCTAATACTTAGCTAAAACTTACCTAAGATAGGTAGCACAAAAAATGATCCCTGAAAAATGTCTGAAGCCTCCCCTCCCCGCCACTTCTACTATCTAATCTTATGACTTTATTTCTCTGTTTAGTTCACTGAGCCAAATAATTGTTCAGTTTTGAAGCTGTTCTCCCTCTAAGCCAATGCTACCATAGGAACACATCATATTTGTCATATTCATAGAAAATTTCTATAAAAATGGCTATTCAAACTTTGCCTATTAAAATAAAGGCTAATAACCAAACTAGCCTTTGTTTTATGGAGGAGGCCTATAAAATTCTAACAAGAAATCTCAACTATGTGAGCAAAGCAGAACAGACTTTATAAAGTGTTAAAGCCAGAAAAGAACCTTTGAGATCAGTTAGTAGGGTGTTCAACCAGCGTGTGGCAATCATACCACTCATTGGCAACACCAATGAATGATTTTCGATGACCATGGACGAATATAACTTATCATGTACGTGTTTATTTTATTGTGTACTGTTTTCCATTTAGGGCAGGGACATAAAGTTTCCTTTTAAGAAGAGGAGAGTCAGGCATTGCTTTCTTGGTAGTATGAGGTTCCCATGTCTCTCTGCTCACTTCTCTCTTTTATATCTCAAAAGAGATTGGCTTAAAACACAATCTAATCTTATAGATCCCATCAACATAATTGCCAATAATCCATCTTATTAACATCATAGTGATAGCATTTGCAACACATAGGAAAATCACATGAGATGATAAAACGGTGGACAATTACACAATACTGGGAATCACAGCCTAGCCAAATTGATACACATATTTTAGGGGGACACAAGTCAACCCATAAAAAATAAAATAAAAAGAGCAGAGTCAATTTAAAGAAAAATCTCCAGTGAACAACAGTATATGGATACAATGTGGACTTGGCTAAAGTCATAAAAGTAAGTGGTACATGAATGAAAGAAATTTAGAAAACAGAAATCAAGACTGATGCCCTTGCTGTACAGTTGAGAAAACTGAACCCCAAAGGGAAGCTAAATGGAAATACATGAATAACATTTAGCTAATAAAATTACCTCCAACTTAATTACTTAAGAAGAGCTGTCCCAAGCTAGGTGAGGTGGTAAAAGGGAAATCTCATTCTTGTCCCAATCTGATTTTCTTTTCCTCTTTCCATTAGCCCATACATAATACAGAAATTATCTCCATGTGTATAGCTACATACATCCTTTATTGTTTGCTTTTCCTTTCTTTTTTTATTTTTGATTTTTATTGTGGTAAAACATATATAACAAAACATTTGCCATTTTAACCATTTTTAAGTGTACAATTCAGTGACATTATATTCAGCATGCTGTGCAATCATCAGTATCCATTCCCAAATGTTTTTCATCTTAAGGCCCTCTTAAGCAGTAACTCCCTATTCCCCACCACCACCCCCAAGACCCTGGTAACTACTACTAAATTTTTGTCTGAATGCATTTGCCTATTCTAGATATTTCACATAAATGAGATCATACAATATTTGTCCTTTTGTGACCAACTTAACAATGTTTTCAAGGTTCACCCATGCCATCACATACATAAGAAATTCATTTTTCTTTATGGCTGAATAATATTTCATTGTATATACATACTACCTCTTGTTCATCTATTCATCTCTTGATGGACACTTGGGTTGTTTCCACCTTTTGGCCATTGTGAATAATGATGCAATGAACACTGGCTATCATGGATTGAATTATGTCCCCCAAAAAATGTGTGTATCAATTTGTCTGGGCCATGATTCCCAGTACTGTGTGGTTATCTTCCATTAAGTGATTGTAACTTTATGTTAAACAGGATTAGGGTGGGATTGTAAAATCCTTATTAAGGTCACATCCCTCATCCAATGTAAAGGGAGCTTCCCTGGGGTATGGCTGTACCACCTTTTATCTTACAAGAAATAAAAGGAAAGGGAAGCAAGCAGAGTTGGGGACCTCATACCACCAAGAAAGCAGTGCTGGGAGCAGAGCACGTCCTTTGGACCCGAGGTTCCTGTGCTGAGCTGCTCCCAGACCAAGGGAAGACTCATGACAAGGACCTTCCTCCAGAGCCGACAGAGAGAGAAAGCCTTCCCCTGGAGCTGACACCCTGAATTTGGACTTGTGGCCTACTGGATTGTGAGAGAATAAACTTCTCTTTGTTAAAGCCATCCACTTGTGCTATTTCTGTTATAGCAGCACTAGATGACTAAAACATTGGTGTACTCGTATCTGTTTGTGTCCCTACTTTCAATTCTTTGGGATATATACCTAGGAGTAGAATTGTTGAGTCATATGTAATTCTACGTTTAACTTTTAGAGGAAGTGTCAGACTATTTTCCATAGCTGCTTTTCCTATCTCATGGTTAACTAAAGAAAATCACAACTAAAAGAAAATCACATTAGTATGTGTATGAAATAGATACAGTGTGTGTGCACATGGATACTCACCCTTCCCTACTGCCCCAAAACAAAACCCCCTCAGGGACATTTTTACAAAACAACTTTGTACTTTTTCAAGGTATTTTGACCTAATTATCATAATTAATGAAGAGCTTTCCAATGATTTGCCAAAACCTAACTCTTAGCTAAGTTGGTAAAGTCTCACTCATTGCTGTGGCAGCATAACTGAACTCAGAGTAGTTCTGGGGAAGAAGACATGTGTATTCTGGTTTGCTCTGACATCACTATTATAATGCAAAACTTTCCAGGCATGTAGGCTTTCTCCATTAGCTTTTAAGAATGAAATGAAGGGACAAAGTTTTAAGAACAACATGAGCATATGGAAAAGTATTCTTTACCAGATTAAATTTTCCAAGATAATGAATATAAAAGAACTTTCCGCCTATACCCAGTAGTACTTAACAGTCATCCTGTTATGCCAACATTTTCCCTTAACCACCAAACTGAAATTTCAATAAAGTTCACAAAGCATCAAGATAACACAAACATATGCGATGAAAAGGGTTTGGGGAATAGGGAATAGCCGACCTAATTGGCATAAATGGCAGTACTTAACAGTTCAAAAATAAATATGTCTAATAGCATGATATCTTCTGAGGTTAGAAAAGTACACAGTATCACTTACACATAAAGACTGTTGGCAAGAATTCATTCACTTAACAAATATGTACTAGAGCACCCATTATGCACAAAGCACTGTGCCTGGTGTGATGAGTGATATAAAGATAAACGACACACAGCCTCTCTCTACCAAGGACCCCACATTCTCAAAAGAAACAAATACAAACTTATTTAAGGTGGCAAATTAAGAGGAGAGCAGTATAAGGTAAGCGCTCTGGAAGTTCTGAGGAGGGAGAGATCATTGTTTGTTGAGCAAGTTTTTGTGGAAGTAGGGCTTGCTTGCACATGTAGGATTTTGACAGACAGTAATGAAGGAAGAGCAAGCATCTTAGGCTAATGCAGACAAAGAGATATAAGTAAACACATGAGGATAAAGTTTATAGTATATTCAGGAATGGAAAACGGTTTGGTTTGACGCAGGAATAAGGTACATAAGTATAAGATGGGAAAAGTAGGTTGGAGCTAAATGAGGAATTAAGGCTTTATTTGATGAATAGTGGAGAGCCATAAAATATTTTGTGTTAGTCTATGTATAAGAAATAATTAAAGTGGGATACAAACGAAATTGGGAGCCAAATCAGAAGAGAATTCATGGGTTAGATGAAAATAAAATATGACTCTGATGTCTGAGAGTAAGTGACTGCCATCTACAGAAATAAGGAAGAATGGGATAGAAGCCTGGCTGGGAAAGTGGAGAAAAATGTCAGGTAAGTTTTATTCATACTTTTTTGAAGTCCCAAAGGAAAATTCAAGTAAGAATGTCCAGTAGGCACCAGGCAGTTAAAGATATGGAGCTCTAGAAAGACATCCAGGTTAGAGAGTCATAAAAGAATGATTAGAACAGTGGTTAAGCAGATGGGCTTTGTAAAAAAGACACATGTGAAGGGCTACTCTATGTAACAACAAAAGACTGAAAACAACTCAAATATCCATCAGTAGAGAACTGCTGGATTAAACTATGAACGTTTATACAATTAAGTACTTTACAGCTGTAAAAAGAAATAGAGAATATGTCTTATATACCACTATGGAGTGATCAAAAGGATACACTTAAAGTGTAAAAAGCCAGGTGGAAAAAGTGTGCACAGTATGCTACCATTTAAGGGAGGAATGCAAATTATATACATTTGCTAATTAATAGAATACCACATTTTTATGCAAATAGCATGCACCTTTTAGCCAGCTGCTTCCTCCCCGAGAGATATTTTACTAACGTTGCTATAAAATAAAATTAGCATAAAGCACTTATGCAAATACTTCAAGGGGGAAGGGAGCGGCTGGCAAACAAAAGTAGAAGGTACATGTTATGTGCATAAAAATGCAATAAACAAAAAAATGTGTATTAAAGATTAAAAGTTATCTATGAAAGGAGAAAGAGAACAGAGTGTAAGGCACAGGAGTAGATACCTTATTTTGTAGATTTGACTTTGGAAATACATTATTATTTTACACTAGTATACAACAAAATTAAGTTTAAAAAGTAATCTCCTCCCCACAAAAAATTCCATTTACAATAGCATCAAAACACATAAAACACTTAGGAATAAATCTAACAAAAGGTATGTTACAGAACACTGCTAAGAGAAATTTTAAAAGACCTAAATAAATGAAGAGAAACACTATGTTCATGGATTCGAAGACGCAATATTATTGAAGAAGACAATTCTCCCCAAATTGATATAGACCGAATGCAATCAAAATTAAAATTCTAGCACGCTTTTTTGATAGAAATTGACAAGCTAATTTCAAAACGTATATGGAAATGCAAAGCACCAAGAAAGAAAATTTTTTAAAGAACAAAGCTGGATGAC